GCACTTCCCTTTATGGCACCACCTGCTGTGAGCATACCATGAAAAATCATCAGCTCTAGTTTACCCATGTGACATTTACCCATGTGGCATTTACCCATGTGGCATTTCTGATGGATGTACCTAGAGATGGCACCGATCCAATACCTGCTATCGGTACCGGGCCGATACCGGCAAAAATGCTGCTTCAGATATTGTCGGCGATATCTGTTCCAGAGAGAGCACTAGTCTGAGAATCGTGAACATGCTTGTAGCCGTAGCATAACATACCGTCAACAGAAGTGAGGGTGATATGATGGCAGCAGTCATTTCAGCTGTGTGGAAATCCACCCTTCATTTTCTCAGGAGTTAGGACCAGAAGATCCCGGCGAATGTGAAAATTCATGAATAATAGCCCCCCCCCTCCCACAACCTCAACCCATAACAGTCTGTTAGCCTGAATGATAACGCAACATGTCCATTTATTACTAATTTCTAAACAAACAGCACTGTACTGTACACTCTGCATGTGAAATTACTTTGTCATTTCCAGTCAAGACATTTTTATATGATATACAAACCATATAAATTATGCTCCTATACATAAAAAGATGCTACTGCATGCATTCTGAGCACGACATTTAGGACTCATTATTAAAAACAAAACTAACAGCAATAAAAATTTGAAAGTTACTGCAGGAAACGCGAGATTCCACAGTCAGAAAGACAGCTAACCTGTGGGTGAGGCTAGTCGCTGAGACAAAGATACATGGCGTATCAAAACGAAGACTTTTAATATTAAATGATAAACAGTAACTAGAATGCTGTGTATTACTAATATGCTATATATCATATGATTTAAAATGATCCAAATCATTTAAAGCATTGTTTTTGGTTCACGTGTCATTTGCAATTTTCTTCTGGCAAGCTCAAAAACATTCCCGTTGAACTGTGAATGTCGATTCTGCAAATGCGAGTGAGTAACTGTACTTTACACTGAGGGAAGAAAAAAAAGCAAAACTGCAGAGTGTAATATATGGCAGGCTAGTGCTGATTTCTGAACATAGTAAAATTTAAACCTGCCTTCAAACTTGTATTCTTTCAAAAGTTTGCTTAATTATTGCTTAAAAATGTATCTGTGTTCGATCATATAACCTGAGGGTTGCTGGTTCTGGTTCAGTTCCCAGGAGTTTTATTACACACTTCAGTGAGATGCATAAGATGAAGAGCAAAGGAGTATATATAGCAAATTCTTCTGGGGTAAAAAGCACTGCTAAGCAAGAGAAATAATTTAATAATCCGTTCTCTGTATCCACTTGTCCTATTCCTAAACTACAGGGAATAACCCAGCATGGGGAAGGAATCCCTTGTAAGGCATGCATGCGCACGCACACGCACACGCACACGCACACACCTGCCAGCAAGCATGGGATGTTGACAAGAGTCCAACTGTCCAGCCTGCAAGCTCAGAAGGGTAAAGAGGTCATTTGAGGGTCTGGTGCTTAGCATCCCTGATTAATGCACCAAACGGTGCGTGAAGCAAACTCAAGAGAGAGGTCTGGCAGATGGGAGAGGTCTCATCTGAACGCTTAACTCCTGGGGCTGGACAAGGTTAGGTACCTCTGAACCACAAGTGAAGTTATCCAATTAACTGGCCGATGGTGCGTGAACAACAGCTTGGATCACGCATACTTCAGATGGTTCGTTCTCACAGAGTAGATGTAACCCCTAGCTACTTTAGACTGTCTGGAAATCGGCCCCCGGCTCATAAATGCCGCCCCCTAGTGAAAAGGATCCGAACTCACAGGGACGTGGAGACATTAGTGGTCGCATTAAACTTGCCATGATGTGGATATGAAGGAAATTCACCAGAGGTAATTAGGTAGTAAAGTGCAGTTGTAGCTAATTAATGCCCCCCCCCCCCCAAGCTAAGTGTCACGGTAATTTGAACACTCTGTCTTGTCTCGGCAGCTTACAGCAGAAACACGACCAGTACCTGAAACCTTAACCAAATCCCCTGAGAATGAGTTTGGGAACTTGAGACTCTCTTGCCATTAAGCTAAGCTGCAATGCTGCACTGGTGAGAAAATCCAGTACAGAATTTTACTCTCTCATAGAGCTCATTTCCCTACACTGTGGCCCCATTTAATCTCTGCTAGAATGAGACCCAGATCAGTTCTTGCTGCACAAGTGGCAAATAGCAACTGAACCACACCAGCAATGACTGCAAACGAATGCACATGCTCCTGAAGGAGAGTCAAGTGTTTAGCAGAATCCTCCCGTGCCGCCCACCTCATCTGCACATCGCCCACTAGAACCGTCATCACTCCGAGACCCCGGGCTGCAGGTCGGCCCACCCCCGAAGCCGACACCTCATGGTCAGCATGGGTCAGGGCCCTTCTCTGCAGAAAGAACTGGGGTCTCGTTTTGGGGTCTCCTGGACCGTTTTCCCCTCAACGGAGGTCAACAGGATAGCAGCTGTGGCACCGAAAAAGCCAGATGTGGCGCTCAGTGGTTCGGGCAGAAGGATGACAGCCGGCCAAAAAATAACAGTACAGGCTTCTCCTCATGAAGCTATGTGAGGCAAACAGTGAGAACGGGCCACGCAGACCCAAGCCCCCCCCAAGTATATGCCTCATGCATGCAACAACAAACAATGGACCTCATGTGCATGGGGGGGGGGCAATGGAGTCTTGTCCCCATGGTGACTGGAAACATGGATGACCCCTCGAGGGCCATAGTCTTGAAGTGGAGGTAAACACCAAAACATAAAACAGGTGACATACATGAGCTGCCCCCCCCCTCAAATCCAACCCCCACGTGTCCAAAAATACCAGCACTTCCAGTGACCCCTGGCAAGCTGTCATTACCTTCTGTTTCAGTGGAAGCAATGAGATGAGGACAAGCCAACCTTTTGTGAAGGGAACAAGCTGGCTATTCTCACCTTTAGCACACAAAATACCAGTGAATGCAAAGATAAACCCCATGGCAGTGGAATCGCAATTAAATCCTCACATGGTGAACGACCGTGTGTCACTCTTGTGTCACAGTTCATTAGAAAAAGGGACAGAGGCCTCCACATGTACTTTGGATCACAGAATAAGCTGTAGCTTAAGTGTCCCAAAGCGGCTAAAGATGAGGGACCAGGATTATTGAAATTTACTTCAACCTCCAAAAAACCTCCGTAAACAGCTGGTGCTGGTAAGAGATGGAGCAAATGTCTCTGAAAGCAGACGGGAGCAGCCCGGCACAGAGCCGGCATGCTGACAGCTCTCTGGCCATGCCTTGGCATCTTCAGGTCCTTGCTGCCAGGCAAGATGTGATGTGCAAGGAGGCCAAATGGACCTACTGTCCGGTGTGAAGGAGTCTCAGAGTGTGTTGGGCCAGTGTGGTGAGCACGAGGGGGGAGGAAGCTAGTTGGTGGGGGGGGGGCAGAGTCCTTCCTCCATTTCCTGCAGGCAAAGTGGAGCAATCTGGGACATCCTCCGCTTCCTTAACTGGCACACCATCTGCTGCCTGACAGAGCTTTATAAAAACAAAGGCTCTGGTCAAATAATTGGAACAGGAAGAGCTTCCTTCTTAAATCTGACAGCTTAGTCTTTCCTAACCTTGTATCGATTATGTCCAGTCACTGTGGCACTCTCAGACACAGTTGATGGGTGGATGTCACCAGCTAAACCAAGGACTGGACATTTCACCAATACCCATAGCCAGATTAACCTGTAAGCCGGACAAATCTCCAATGAAACTTGTCAGTGGCATTAATTCCTCAGATCTCACGAATGTGTGTAACAGCCAGGGCCAGTCAATGCCCAGTTAGACCTGCTTCATCCACCCCCCCAAAGCCAAAATAAGTGCACAAACAACAGGTGTAAGAAAATAAAGATTGTTTTTAGTTTAATATAATGCAATAAACAATTCCAAAAATAAATATTAAGACTAGTACTGGAATTCAGTTGCTATAGTAAATATATATGGGGTGACACAGTGGTTAGCACTGTTGGGACCAGGGCTTGAATATCTGTCATGGTTCCATGTGTGTGGAGTTTGCGTGTTCACCCTGTGTCATAGGGTTTCCGCTGGGTAATCCGATTTCCTGCACAGTCCAAAAACATGCTGAGGTTCACTGGAATTACCAGATTGCCCATAGGTGTGAATGGTGTGCCCTGTGATGGCTTGACGCCCCATCCTGGGTTGTTCCGTGTCTTGCACGTGTGAGTGAATGGTGTGTAAGTGTGCCCTGTGATGGGTTGGCGCCCCATCCTGGGTTGTTCCCTGCCTTGCACCCGTAGTTTCTGGGATAGGCTCTGGACCCCCGCAAGCCTGAATAGAACAAGCAGTTACAGACGATGGATGGATGGATGGATAGTAAACATACACTTCACTCACCATGTAACCTAACAGCACGCCTGCCGTGCTTCCCTTCGCACTGTATCGTGTGCCTACTCTGTGGTGGCACTGCAGAAGGTACCAGTATGATGCAAGCAAGCCAATTTGTCTCGGATGGTGCGCTTTGTGAACGAATGGGGTTGGCAAGTCAGCGCCCCCTCAGAAGCTCGCGCCCTAGGGAAGCGCCCATGTTGCTTGAGGGGTTGATCCACCCTGGCAGTCAGCACATCATCTAATACAGGCAGTGAGGCATCAGTGAAGGTGAACTGACTTTGGAGACTGGAGCGAGGGTCCAAGCGGTGAATCGGCCAGCGAAATCCTACAACTGTCAGTTTAGTAGTTAAGACTTTAGCTCTGGTTCTAACTTTAGTAAATATTCAAAGTCTAAATATCATCAATATTGACCAAGACTAACTCATAAGTCTTGATTTTCAATGAACACAGGCCAATAACGATATGTTATCTGATATTGTACATCTATACCTTGAGCAACAGGGTTAGTATGTACCTCAGAGACTCTGAAGGGCAGCCCAAGTATAGGCTGCATAATTACTTCTAGATCGTCTGATTGTCAAATACTGGGGACACATGCGAGTTTAGTCCAGAGAGTCGGAATTTGAAAGGGAAAGTCTTACCTGCTTAGGCGTGTGGAGAATCGCCCTGGCTGTCGATATTCCTGAATCCACCTGTGCAATTCGCGATAAACATTGGGTCAGTAACCTAGGCATTCCTTCTCGTTCATATGTTGAATTTAGGATTTTGGAGCCTTCTAGAACCTCCTACAAAAAGCTCAGTATCCACTTCTCTGTGCCTTTTACCCAGACTAAGGTATACTGTTAATGAACAGACAGCTAAAAGGTTCTACAAGAGACATTTTATGATGAAGCAATGCTTCACTGGTATGTTAAGAGTTTTTATCAGAAAACGCACGTTATTGCCAGAAACACGTTTTTGACTTATGTGATTTTTGTATAGCACAGAAAGGCTCCAGGCCCAGTGACCCTACATAAGACAAGCGAGTATGTGAAATGGATGGATGGATGGAGTTTATAAAGTGGGCTATAGATGGAATGTCCAGATTAGTATGGTTACATACAGGAAAGGAGACCAGCTGATTTGGGTGCTTTTCCACCACACCACTTGCGGTACTTTTGGTACTAAAAATTTGGTACTTTCCCTTTTCCATTGATTTCTGCTCAGGTCCCAGGAACCAAAAGTATCAAAGCAGCTGGGGAACTTTTTCTGTACTTTGGTACCGTGAGGTGGGACTTGCAAACATGCTTATTGTTGATTGGTTATGCAAACAACCTGCCTGGCAAAGACTAAATACATCCACCATCCTGAAAAAGCGTAGTTACGAACTGAGAAAACAGCAACAAACAAAGAAAAAAAAAGTGCATGGACAAATAAAAAGCAAAAAACAATGGATGCATGGACAAATGAAGAGACCCTAGATTTAATTGAGATTTGGTCGGAATAACAGATTCAACAAGATGTGGTCAGCATGACAAGAAATAAAGTATTTGCTATAATATACTACGGCTGCAAGATACTGGAAAAATCTAGGAATATTTTAAACAGGAAGTTTGAAAATGATTATATTGAGTATAAAAAGCTCAACTCCACTGATTTTCCAGGTCCTTGCAATGTGAGAACTTTATGTGCATAAACATGTGATGTTGGTAGTAATATCACACATTGTCCAGCCCTATATTACACTATAGCCATTTTTGAATTCAGTACAAAATACCCGCCTCGTGTTGTGTCATTCAGCACCAGTACCAGTTTTTACACCAGTGGAAAACCAACACAAGAAGTACTGTACTTACTTTTTTGAAGTATCAAAAGTACGGTTTTATGATCACGGCACAAACAAAACAATGAGTACATGGACGCTAAAGTTAATTAGGTTGAATAGTCTCTTTTTAAGAAGCATTCCATAAAATGAATTTAATATGACCTTTTAAGAAATTCAGTCAAATGCATAGTGTGGCAATAGCTGCAGTGCGGGAGCTTAATTAAGATTCGTCAGATGGGGGGGGGGGGGATTGGGGGTGGCTGTGTGATTTGACTGGCACTGCGAGGTACAAGGGGGGCACAGAAGGGTTGGGGTCTCTGAGGAGTCCTTTCGTTCCTGGCAATGTAACATGCGGCCTCGCACACAGTCGGCCTGACATACCCTTCAGCATTAGGGTTCAGCATAAGGGTTAACCCACTGATTAGGGGTGCGGTGAGCAGCCCCAGGCAGGACAGCCCAGGTTTACACAAAGCACAGGGTATTGACCACTATACACAGCTAACCGTAACCATTATCTGACACATCTCCCCGCCCACACCCACCCCACGCTGCAAACCTTGTGTAAACATCACTCATTATGAAGACACTCTCTGTCCGGTCATTAGAAGGACAAACACCATGATGCTGCATGCATTTTGGGGGCAGAAATCCTAAACAAAGCTTTTTGTTCAAGCAAAACTCAAACTGTAGGTATAAGCAGAAAACAGCTGGCTCTAATCTGCCATGGGGCGTCAAGAAAGAGAAAATGTTACCCCCCTGCTGCTTTGTTTCTGGGCTGACTGGGCCGTAAAGCCCGCGGCAAACTGCAGGCTTACGGCAGGCCCTTTACAGTGCTCTGTGGTATTCACAGTGGGTAGTATCTGAACGCAGAGAAACAGAGGAGAATCACAGCTGCAGGGGAGGGGGGGATGGCGTGCTGGAGACAATAAACAAAGACGCACTGCCCAGCGCCTGCTCCCAGAAGCCCCGGCCTGCCCATCGGGGCACACCACGAGACGACCCGCTTACGGAAATAAAATCCGGTCCTCAGAAATGACATCCTTTTATGACAGTGGGAAGGATGGTTTAAAGGGACAAGGTGACAAACATATACTGCTAAAGGGTTAACAAGTCACACATACAGTCAGGGTGGCAGGGATGATGTTTACCCACAATGCAATGGACACCTGGCTACCGGAAGGCAGCCTCCAGTTAGTCAGCTGTGAGGAAAAAGTCAGCATGGAGATGTAAGTGAGAGGATGATTGAGGTGTGATAAGTTTCCTGTTTGGGAGTAATGGGTTTGGGAGAGAAGGGGAGGGGGTCACCAGGACACTAAATGGTAAGTAGGTGCAGGCAAGTAAAGACAAGCACGAAAGGCAAAATGGCCTCCTCAGAGAATGAAAAAAGACATTAATAAACTTGGGCGGCTGTGTCAGGCAGAAAATAAACCAAACAGCATTTCCAGTATTTGAAAATGGCATCTCTGTTGGGGTTACTAGGAGACAGAGTACAGCAATGCATAGCTTACAGAGTTAACTAGGGGACAGCGATCAGAGGCACACAGCACTGATACCTGAGTCTCCCTGCTGAGACAAACTTAGGCACCACGTTCCTCTAAATGGTGTTTCAGTTCAAACCCTAATTTTTAGAGTGAGTGGCACTAACAGAGGATGGAACTTCTGTCAACACAGAATCAACCTGCTGAAGGCCCCCCAGCTCAGGAAAAAGGTCAGTGTCATCTCAATTCACCATCGTAGCAAACTCATGTATGGTAAATGAACCCCGCTTAAACTCTACATCATTACCCACGGGAGCTCTGCCTTCACAATGGCTGAGAAAAAGCTAAGCTAAGCTAAGGGTGGAGCTAAACCAAAGAAAGGCTCCAGATGGAGAAACGTTTGCTGAGCTGGGCCCGGAAGGCCTTGGTAAAGGGCTCTGGCACCAGTGTCTCATGGCTTCCCAGTCAGCATGCCACACTGAGCCAAAAATGTTTGGGTTTACCGTTACACGGTTCAGATGTGAGCTGCTAGGCTAGGCAAGGGAAACACAAATGCTTGTAACAGAAAATAGAAAAATCTTTCTACCCTTTTCCAACAGCACAACAGACACCAAAGACACTCCACATTAAAGTTTTGGTGGTGGCATATTTGTGACTGGCAAGGTATTAAAATACATCAGTGTTTTTATAACTTAATACTGAAAAAACGCACGGCGTCCACCACAAATCTCCTTTATGTTGCTCAATGAGACCCTTGTTTTCCCTGGTAGAAATTTACATGTTTCATGTAGGAATAAATTACAAGTCGCACCAAAGTCCTTGTTACACTCACATTCTTGTCCCACTGTGGGATCAGAAAAAAATAAATGTTCTCTCAGATATTGTTTTCATTCAATAGTTTCTCTTATAAATCGCAATTCTTCCCTGAGTCTGGACATGTTGAAGCTTATCTGCTGGAAGTTATTAGCATAGAAACAAGACTTTGTAACACACCCCTCCAGCAAAGTACCGAACAATATTTTTTCTCATTCATACAGCAAAATAACTAAATTAGGGCTATAAAGGCAGGGTCTCCTGAGACGTGTACCCCGGACCTTCATGTCAGAAGGTTAAGCTGATAAACACTATGCTACCATGTTTCAATAAAACCTCCAGTGTAACCAGACTATCCCTGGTAAATGTACAGTATGATATTTTAGAAGCCTAGCCTCAATCCCAGCATCTAAGTCAGCCTTCGTCCCCACGGTGTCCCTCAGATTCCTCACCTCCACCCTTCCAGAGGGCTTGGCAGCTCCACATGGACATGAATACATTGTGGAAAGGTGTGGCCATCCCTCTAGGGTCTCAAGTCTTGGATGCCACTTCCTGGATGGTGTCCATTTCGGTTTCTTAGCAACACCTCTAGGAACGTCGCCCCTGGACACTGCCAAACAATAACTAGCACCACATCTCTCCCTCATTTTTCTTGACTCTTGAGCTTTTGAAAAATTTATAAGGTTAAATTTACACCCACTAGCACTTGTGCAACCTCCAGTTCCCAGTTCCTAAGAGAATGTCTTTGGACTGCATTTCCTGCCAGGAGACAGACGCCAGGCAGCGATCGAAGGCCCGCTGCTTCACCGTGACTTGAGTCTTCAGCATGAGCTTTGGCAGTTTAGCATCTGGTGCTGTTCGATTAATGATTTATTTTTACTACCTCCGTAAAAATGGACACATTTGGTGAACATCATGACTGACATCCTGATGATAAATAACCCTCGTGACACAGGCTGGCCAATGCAATACCCCAGACCTCCAATACCAACGAAAGAGAACATCTTGCTAGAAGACAGAATAAAACAAATCACACTTCCCTTGCTCCGTTTTTAATTCCTCAGATAAACCATATCTAAGCAATAAACCAAGGTGATGGGAAACTGTATGCACAGGACTCTTCTTCAATGTTGAAAGTAGTCCGAAAGGAAGGAGCCTGACAGTGCCAGAGCCGCGCTGCAAAGCCGTAATTTCTGATGCGCAGTGATACACAGAGCGGCTTCATGGCATATAATCTGGACTTCAGCACCTGATTCGAATCTGACGTCTCTTAACACATAGGCTACTTCTCTCCGGTCGCGTAAAGGACAATCGCTATAAAAACGCAGAGGGGGTTAAACAAGCGTCAGTATTAGCGATAAGAACGTACAAGCTCAACTGCAAAATAACAGCAAGCCGACACCAATTCAAGAAACAAACGTGATCCAGACAATCCCTGAATATGTCTGAAAGGTTTGAGCTTTATATGATGGTCATATCATATCAAGTACTGGAAAAGACTGTTTTCATTTGTTACGGCTTATGTGTTACGGGCTAATACCTTCAGGAATCATAACCTCGAAACAGTCTGTTCATAGCAAACGGCCGATATAACAGAAACGTTTTACGAGCCATTTAAATCGAGGCCACTTAAAATCGCGCGATATGCAAACAGGCACAGGAATTAAGCCACGAAGTTTTATTTTTCATTAATGATTTACTTTTTGAAAGTCCTATTCATATCTCAGATTCCGAGCCGCCAATGAATTTTATCAGGCAATTAAGTTAACAAATATGTAGTTACAGCTACCAAAGAGGAAACCTTCACTTTATCACTTCTGACCGGTTACTACAGTAACAACACCTCAAACTGAAAGTTGATACTAAATAACCAAGTTGCAGCCTACATAATTTGCCCGCTTACAGCCTACGTGATTAACTGCAATCATTCACCTTTAGTCATCTTTTAACAGATACACAAATGTAAAGTGTTACAGTGTAATCATTTTGCGATCTGAAAGGGGGACTGCAATCTGCAGCATAAAACCATCGCTGAAATTAAGTATTTATACTTACTACGAGCACGGACGTCCTGACGACCTCCGAGACGCTTTGCCTTAGCTCGGCCGCTGTCCCCGGCTTGCTCAGACCCCGAGTAAACTTCCTCGTCTCCGGCTGAGTTGCATGCGACATTTCCAAGCCAGACCTTTCATGAACTCACTCGACGAATGATAAAACTTCAAAAGAAATACAGTTTCCAGCATAAAACGTGAGCCGGCTCCTCATTCCTACCCCTCGCGTCCCGGCTAACAAGGCGCTCCTTAGATCCGATGAACGATCATTTTGTAACACGAATCCCCTCTCTCCGTTTTCCGCATAACAATAATAATAAAATAAATAAATAGCCTACTGCAGAATGACTATAGAGCGACACTTCGGTAGTCCACTGCAGTGTTTCACACCAGCAAGCTCCCCTGCGCTGTCAGCAGCAGTCTACAGCTCCGTCCCGCGTATCCATGCTACGCCAGCATTCACGCCGTCTGTCCGGCCCGCTGTGTGAAACGCAGAACAGAGAAACTCCCAATTCGGCGTTTCGCTCGGCAGCGGTGCTGAGAAAGACGCCCATCGCGCAGGCAGTCACATGGATGCTTTCGTATACCTGCAGCAAACACGTACCCTGACACGGAGTTTTGTAAGCCGGGAGCTGTACAATTACAGCGTGAATGATAATCACTGTATTTACGGAAGTTTATTATTATTATTTTACACTAGGCTGCCTAAGAAAGCCAAGCCAAGGTTAATACTTCAACATATCGATGGCAAGGTGCACTACACAGTATTGTGACAATACTAATAATTCCCCAAGGTTTAATAATTTGAGGAGTTTGACAGCGTATGAAACATTTACCTGCAGCGAAACAAATGCCTTTCGTTACAGATATTAGTCCCTGAAGAATAAAAGAACCACAACTACACCGTGCTATACTGTGGATTTATATCTCTTTGCAGTGCATAAATCGTCATTTTAAATGAAAATGTTCACATTCCCTTCGGATTTCCTCACGTGAATGACAGATATAAATAAAACTATCAAATATTATAGAGCAAGTTAAAGAAACGCTGCCATCTGCTGGCAATGTCTTTTGCGACACCCTAATACTCGTATGTCACGTGATAGAATTGGCATCGCGTCGCGCGGAGCCGCCCAGCATACGCCCGTCCTCGTTCCCAAAGAAGACAGCGACACACCATGCCTAGACCTGTGGTTTTATTGCTTTTGCTGTCACAGAGCCATCTCCTGCTCCTCACCCCCCAGCGAAGACTGATATCACATCATTTCCATCGTCCGTTAAAACCAGTTGTGGGCCTCCTTTCCGAATGGCAGGCGGTCCGAGCTTTGAGGGTGGTGAGAGTCGGCTGGGCTGAGAGATTTATCTTTTTCGTTTTAGCGCGTCTTACACAACACCATAACAGCTTCCGTTAATTTTTTAATCAAATTCGAATTAATGGTTGGCTGTAAAATATATTTCAACTGAGAATGAAATATGGGCCAGGCGGCCAGCAATGTCCCTTAGAATCAGGAGCAGGAAAAAATCTACATGGAAGTGCCAGCACTAGCACTTGAATAAGCTTTCATGATGAGCAATGCTTAGCCATGGAAGTGTATCGGGGAAAGGCCTCATTCCCTCCTAATAAATCTACTGCCATTGGTGTGGAAAGCCAACTTTATCCATAAACTCTTTTATATCATCCAAGGATATCTTGGTTAAACTTTTAGGTTCCTACCATATATGTTTTAAAGTATGTTGATTTTATATAATTTATTTATTTCTCTCTCTGTCTTTTTTTTTTGTTTTTTTTTTTTTACAAATCATGAATGATCAACATATAAAAATGGCTTTAGAAAGACTCTGATACATTGGTGAAACTATTTTTGACACTCAGTGTGTTACTGAACCAGTTGGATTCAAAATCTGTCTTCCTCCCAAAATAATGCATAAAAAAAGCATAACAACAAACCTTCTCCCTAAGACTAAACCGAAAACTGGGTGACGTAAAAATCAGAGTGAGGCAGTGGCCCACAGACCTGTTTAAAAAATCGTATAAAATGACTAGCTAGAAAAGAGATGGTCCAGAGCTCTGTAAAAACGCAGTAAAAAGAGTCTGTGATGTCATCAAAACCAGCAGTCATGTGACCTTTTAAAGCATTTAAAAGCACAGATATTGTGCACGGAGGCCGATGTGAGTTGGAGGCAGCTCCCGAATGGGAGGGAAGGGATGCAGTGAGCCTGCACAGCCGGGATACAGGGTGGGGGCGGGGAAAGGTGGGACCACTGGGATGGCCATATTCTCCCTGGGTCAGTGGGGCTGAAGGTCCTTGCGGTTCTGATTGCGGCTGCGGCTGCGGCTGGGCGGGTTGGTGGCGCTGCGGATGACCTCCATCCACCTGCGAGGCAGAAACGGGCCGGCAGATATGCAGGAGAAAGGAAGAGAGCCAAGGTGAGGATGGCCTCCGGACCGCTGAAGCTAAGCAGGTAATGCAGCTGACTGCTAGCACTGCGCAGCTGACTGCTAGCACTGCGCAGCCGCGTGACGCCGCTCTCCCTGCACTGTGCGTCCACCTTCTGACCATTGTGACTTCTCACAGCCATTCTCCTCTGTCTGCTGATTGTGTCTGACATCTAATTGACCAAATAAAACATGTTTTATGGAGTCGTCTATTTAACAAGTATTTATACTAGTTATCTATTGACGATGGTCATTTGTATGAATTACTTTATATTGCTATTTTAACAATTTAAATTTGATACTTAGTCTAGCTAACTGACACCGTTAACTGTGAATAAAAAGCAAGATAAGTTTGTATCTTGATGACACCAAAATATTTGCCTTGCTGACAACAATTCATGTACCTCCATTTAAAACAAAATCGTTCACTGAAGCCAGTGTAAAAATAGGCTTCTGTTCGTTGTGTTGAGTGTTTAATTGTGTGGTTTTAAGTTTATTTTATAAAGCAGTTTTTAAGAAAATGTGTTTTGTAAGGCTTCTGATTTTTGCACATGGGTATTTTTCATTATGATAAGCTTGTGGCCATTAGATTGCAGGTTCATACCCCAGGACGGGCATTAATTAGCGTAAATCAACCTGAATACAAAGGTAAATGGCTAATAGTTGTTCGGGATAGGAGATTCACGTTACCTGTCGAATGCGTACTCGCTCTCAGATCTGAAGTAGTAGACATGGGATTTGAAATGCAGCTTGAAAACATAGTCCTTGTGGATGTTTTCTGACTCCGTGGGGATGGTGACTGAGTAGCCCAGCAGCGGCAAGCTGGCCAGCGGGTAGTCATCCTGGGAAGAGTACGTTCCGGCAAAAATGTGAGGAACCCCAACACCAGCTTAGCAAGAAAACATGCCTTCAAGACAGGGTCCCCCACTTCCGGTCCTGGAGGGCAAGTCTGCCACACAGTGTGCAGATTTCCCTGCTTAGACACACCCACCAAACCTGGTAGTCAGCTGATATAGGTGTGTTTTTGAGCAGGGAAATTTGCAAACTGGGTTGGATTCTAGCCCTCCAGGACTGGAATTGGGGAACCCTGCTTTAAGAGGGCTTGTTAATAAATGTCAAGTTAACTTTTAATTACTAAGGATAGACTGTTCTCATTAGTAAATAATTACAGAATTCCCAGTGGTTCTTATATAATTAGGCAAAATTAAAGCATCTGAGCTTCTAAATTAACTCATCTGAAGACAGATTATTTTATTTTTGACAACATCTTACAGAGACACAAATGGTAACTTAGCTCACTGATTCTTCCTCACATCAGCCACTGTTTGTAATGTGTCCCTGTCTGAAAAGTGATCGTTGAATGTCGCCTTTCAGTTATCACTAACTTACAGTTATAACTTGTTATACCTTTGCAATGACACGTCAAAGCCTGTGTTGTCGCAGCACACGGAACACAGAACCTGAGGACACCAGCTACACGCAGGGCATGTCCACACTGAGGTCTCTAGACCCAAACATCACCTTCCTTCCAAGCCATCGCTTCACTCCAGGCCTAAACAGTGGAGGTCAGAGTGAAGCAGTTCTTTACCTGGTATGTCTTGTAGAAGAAAAGGCTAAAGTTAGTGAAGACCACCCAGAGCTTCTGCCAACCGTTGCTGTTTTTGAACTTCCTCAGCAAATTCCCTGACAGCTGATTCTGGCGGAAGGGCAGAAAGACATAACTGTTATTGACACAGGTCAGTGCTAGATGTTCGGTATATGAAAAAACAGGAACAGTGAAGGCTGTGTCATCTCACATCAAAAGTTGACAGAAACAAACCAGACAAGTATTACACTTACAGAAGGAGCTGTATGTGAACATCAAACTAGCAGTGACTGTTCTGGTCAATTTCTGTCAATTTCAGATACCATTTAATGTGTACTCTGTTGTACAGCAAACAGTCTGGATCTTGTCCAGGTTAGATTACGAAGAAGGAATTAGCTAAATTTTTTTGGAACTAAACTAGTGCCACCTAGTGGCTCCGCCCATTATAACCTTTAGATATGCAGTACTGTTAAATGATTAAGAGTTCTCCTTATTTTCACTTCAGTGCTTGAGGGTGGAGGCATGGTCTCATGCAAAAGACCCCTCCCCTCTTCCGGAGCCTTTACCTCTAAACTCCTGCAGGTATCACTAAAGGAGAGGCTTTTGACTCTGTACCAGCCGACCCGAGAGAGCGCCACTGGACCCTGACCACTGCTGGGTCCAAAAAGTGGCACCACTGAGGTGCTGACAGAACTGGGGTCCTCTACCACGAGCGGACCGACGGTCCGGCAGACAGATGGACAGAAGGGGAGGGAGGGAGGGAGAGAGAGAGAGAGAGAGAGATACAGACTGAGCAGGCGAGACAAACAGTGACAGGAGGCTGTTTGAGAGCAGGATCCAGGTACTCCAGGTTTGCTGTAGAGGGAGCATGGGACCACAGGGAAAACACACATGGACACAGACACACAGACACAGACACACACCCACACAGACACACACAAACACACACAGACACACACACTTCAAACCCTCTCTCTTTACACTGCATGCAGAATTGTTAGGCAAGTACTAAGGCCTAGTCCTTAGAGTGATGAGTGGATTCAGAAGTTTGCTCTTTTTTTTATCAAAGTAAATTTATTTTGAGAAAATATTACATTAGTCTGTTATAAACAAAAATAAGAGAAACAGTTGATTTTTTTGTGTGCTAATTTGTTAGGCAATCAGAATTTTTCTTCACCATCAACAATTAAATTAACAATTAATAATTAAAAACAGTTTTAGTTATTCAATCCATATAAAGAACAGCAAACTATCAGCAATTTTATGCACTTTAGCCACTTTTCTTCACAAAGACCACCATGAGCCTGTTGTCAATTGAACCAACTAAGTTTTTGATTTGATCCTGTCCTGTATGAGCTGGGGCAGCAAGGACCCCTCCCAGACACTGCTCTGCCAAGTGCACTGCTCGCCATTTTGGTAAATCTCACACTTCAGTAAGACCCAGCAGTTCTCAATGGGGGTGGAATCAGATGATGAAGGGGGCAGGTCACATTTCAAGCCTTTCTTGACCAATCT